GCTCTCTGCCACCTGCCGCTCTCTGCCACCTGCCGCTCTCTGCCACCTGCCGCTCTCTGCCACGCCCACTTCTTCTCTGCAATTGCTAGCAGGTGCAGAGATCATAACATGATGCAGGAGGGACGTTCTCCCTGAAAGTGTGGGCTGCAAAGCAGCAGGTTATAAATCATTAGAAATTATTTATTTTAAATGAACAATCCATGCTGCTCGTGCAGCTCATCCATCAATCAGCCAATTGTGTGTCATGTCCAATCTTACTTTGAAAAACCACAAAAGAGCGAGACCCGCAAAAGTCTGACTGTGAAGTAGCGAGGGACTATGTATTTTGTAAAGAGAATTACAGTATTTGGTTTTATTATGCAGAAAATGGAATTTTCATCTAGCAAGAAGTGTCCAAAATCCATCCTCTATAAATAGTTTGTATTATTTTGTGTGTTTGACGTAGATACAGGAAGTCAGAACTAGTATGGAATTGGTATATATAGTAAGCAGAATCATTTGAGGAAAAAAATCTTAATAAGCTTTTCTGTTCCTTTTTCTCTTCTTGCAGAAAATGTCCAGATCAATCACTGTCATTCTGACACTCCTGTGCCTTTTGGTGCTTGGACCTTCTTACAGTAAAGGGGGCAAGATTCTGGTGGTTCCCGTTGATGGAAGCCAATGGCTCAACATGAAGGTCATCATTGAACAGCTTCACTCCAGAGGACATGAAATCACAGTTCTGCATACTAGCAAGACCTGGTTCATCTCCAGTAACTCCTCCATGTATACTTCTATTCATGCTCCAGTGCAAGGGACAAAGTGGGTCAAGGAAGTCATGAATATATATGTGCAAAATATTTTAGATTTACGCAGCTATCCCAATTTCATACGCCAATTTTACCAGCAGCAGTTTTTTTCATCACTGGTGCAGTTGGGACATATCAGCTTGGCCAACATAGCTGCTGGAGCGTTAGATGACTCTGTGTTTATAAAGACATTGAAGGACTCTAAGTTTGACCTAATGTTGACAGATCCTGCTCTGACTTTAGGAGTTATTCTTGGTAATTACCTGAAGCTGCCGATGGTTCTTAATGTGCGATGGATTAATCAAGGAGACGGTCATTTTGCCATTGCTCCCTCGCCTGTCTCCTACGTACCTGTAGACCATAGTGAGCTTCATGATCAAATGGATTTTATCGATCGAACAAAGAATATGTTGCACTACCTCTACACTGTCTATGTGCAGCATTTTCTGATTGAACCCTCCTACTCAGATGTGTTTCAGCGTCACTTCCCTCCTGGGACTGACTTGTTGTCTTTACAGCGTTCAGCTGATATCTGGTTGTTCAGGGCAGATTTTGTCTTTGAGTTCCCTCGGCCCACCATGCCCAATGTGGTCTACATTGGAGGGTTCCAGTGCAAAGAAGCCAAACCCCTCCCTGCAGAGTTGGAGGCGTTCATGCAGAGTTCTGGGGAACACGGGGTGATCGTCATGTCTCTGGGGACACTGGTGTCAGCTCTACCTGCTGAAGTCAACGAGGCTATCGCTGCTGCTTTTGCTCAGCTCCCTCAGAAGGTCATTTGGAAGTTTGACAAGGAAAAGCCTTCTTCTCTTGGTAACAACACCCTGCTGGTGAACTGGCTGCCCCAAAAGGACCTCCTGGGACATCCCAAGACCCGGGTCTTTGTAACCCATGGAGGAACAAATGCCATATATGAAACCATCTACCACGGTGTTCCTGTTCTGGGTATGCCCCTCCTTTTTGACCAGTTTGACAACTTACTAAGACTGAAGGTCCGCGGTGCAGCTCGGGTAGTGGAAGTCCGTTCACTGACCAAAGAGAACTTCTTGGAGGCTCTAAAGGACCTCATAGAGAATCCCTCTTACCACAAGAACATCCAACACCTCTCTCTGCTTTACCGTGACCGTCCAATGTCTCCTTTGGACGAAGCCATCTTCTGGATTGAGTACGTCATCAGGAACAAAGGAGCTGCCCACCTGAAGTCCGCAGGTTTCAGCCTGCCTTGGTATACCTACTTCTGTCTGGATGTGGCCGCCATTTTGATGGCCATAACTGGAACCTTCATCTGGGGTTTAGTCCTGGTCTGCAGGTGTCTCTGCGGCCAGAGGTTCAAGAATAAGATGAAAGCAGAATAAATGATTAAAGTGCTTTTTATACAAGTGTGTTTTACCACAGCTACATGCAGTGTGATGTACTGTAACACCTGACTCATAATGAAATGTTTAATGACAATAAAGCTTTTAACCAACACTGATAAGATGCAGTGAAATCATATTAAGAGTCCAGCCAGTCAGCTTATGATATCAG